AATAATAATAATAATAATAATAATAATAATAATAATAATTACAATCTAACAATAATAATAATAATAATAATAATAATAATAATAATAATAATAATAATAATAACCACAAAATGATAAAACAAAAAGAAAAAAAAATTAAAATAGATTTATGAGAAAACTTCAAAAATAGTCCTGTGGTTTTCCAGAAATATCAAGTTTAGTCCCTAAATTCAAAAAACCTCACAGATAGTCCCTGTGGTTTCAAAACTTTTAACAAATGATCCTTCCGGCTCACTCCGTTAGCATTTCACCATTAACTCATTTTTTAATAAAATATTGCAGGTAATTTCGTCATTTCAGTTGTAACCTTCTCTCTTTAATATGAAATGATTACTTGCTTGCACATCACTACCCGTCCCTCTCCCAAGAAGATAACCAGTTACAGGTTTAGTATCCGGTTCATTCCCATCACAGAAGCAAGAACAGAAATTGGGATTTAGGGTTTTAAGCTGCAGAAATTGCAATGGTGCTATCAATATGGTGTGTTCGAGAAAAATTGTAACCGTGAGGACTTAAGAAAAAGATACGGTACAATACTACAACAAAACTTGTTTTTTCTTGGTATATTGTGTTGACGTAAGGAAATCATTGATTTTACTCTTTTTTTTGTGTTTACAGAAGGTTGTGACAACTATTTCACGTTGAAGATGCACTACAGTGGTGTCTTCACCAAAGCACCTGGAAGGAAATACGTTGATGGTGTTGTAGCATATGTAGATGATGTTGACACTGATTTATTTTCAGTTCATGAGCTTGACGACATGGTTCGAGAACTAGGGTACAAAAATGAGCAAACCCTTTACTACCATTTCTGTATCCCTGAATACCCTTTGGACTATGGCTTAATGCCTTTAGGTAATGATCAAGATGTACTTAAAATGGTATCATATGTCCCTAAACACAGACTTATCAGGGTGTATATTGAAATTGGTCAGACAAGGGTAGCTACTTATTACAAGTCTCCTTCTAAAGTTGTTATTGAAGAGTTGGAGCCTGATAGTGTGTCACCTGAAATGAATAGAAAGAAACCTTGTAGGAGAGAAGCAGGATCATGTAGTAGAAAGCTTGATCTAAACAAGTCTATGAACCCTGATTATGAGCAGTCACAAGTGTTAGATGTTGATGAAGGCCAACATTACTCAAAGAGTATTGTACCATTTATAAGGTCACAAGGCAAACAAAGTCATGTCATTCAAAAGGAAGTGGTGAATCATGAAATTGAAACTCAAGAAGAAGTGATCACTAGTGCAGTTGAAACTGAAGAACCATTGGGAACTTACCATGTACAGGAACCAAGTTGCCAAGCTAATGATGGAGCTAATACTGCAACAGTTGATGATTATGAACCATTTATAGAGGATTACTCACTTTATGTTGATTATGATGCTGAGTTTAATGTTGAAACTTCATTTGAAAAACAACCAGAAGTGGATTATCTAGAGGGTATGGTGAGTGATGATAGTGGAGAAGCTTTCTACTCTGAGAGTGGCCATGGTTCTGATTCTGAGGATAGTGGAGATGATTCTGATGACAGTGAATACAATGTGGATGAGTCTAACATACAATTTGATGTAGATGTAGACATGAGTGAATTCCATAATGTTGTTGATGTAGATGAACATGGAATCTTGAACAATCATTCAAAAGATGAAGGGATTGACATGGTTGATGATGAGTTTGAAGTTATTGCCACTGATGATTATCAATTTGTAGGATTTCATGAAGATGATAGGAAGAGACTGCTAAAAGAGTTGAGTAAGTCAAGTACATGCTCACATGGAGAGGTTCATGTTAAACCATTTCAGATTGGCCAGGTCTTCAAAACCAAGATTGATGTTAAAAACTACATGAACTCACATGCTGTAGCAACAAGGAGGTCTTTATACCTAGCCAAAAATGACAAAATCCGGATTAGGGTGAAATGTAAAGGTGTTGTAAGTAAGCCTTCTACAGGAGTTGATGGTGGTGGGCCCTCAACTAGAAGTAGGGCAAAGTGCAAGGGTAAAGATGTAATTGCCAATAAAGGTACATGTCCATGGGCAGTCCAAATATCGAGGGCTAATGAAAATCAGGATTGGTTGGTGAAAACAGTACAGGATGAGCATAAATGTTTGCAAACAAGGGCGGTTAAAGCTTGCACTTCCAGATACGTAGCAAACTTAATTGTTCAACAAATACAGAGTAACCCTAAAATTCCAGTGAAAGCTTTACACGAAGAGTTGTGCAAGAAATTAGAGGTAAGAATGTCATTGCAAAAGGTTGTTAGGGCAAAGTCAATGGCTGAGCGTATCATTAGTGGGGACTATCAAGTATAGTACGGATTTTTGAGGGATTATGTGTTGGAGCTACTCAACACTAATCCTGGTACAACAGTTCGGATTGATGTGTATCCAGAAACCTCCCTGTCTGTTACCACAAGAACTTTTAGAAGAATATATGTTTGTTTAGGTGCATTGAAGTTAGGATTCAAATCTGGATTAAGAGATTTTCTAGGTCTGGATGGTACTTTCATGAAGGGCCCTCACCCTGGGCAAGTGTTAACTGATGTAGGGTTGGACTCAAACAATGGCATATACCCTGTAGCATATGCAGTGGTAGAGACAGAATCAACAAGTAGTTGGACCTGGTTCTTGGAACTGTTAGGAGAAGATCTGGATCTGGGACCAAATTCAAACTTTACCTTCATTTCAGATAGACAAAAGGTGTGTACCAGCTAACTTTTTTTATTACCTTTTCTAAATACATTTGGTTAACTAATGTTGCATACATTGACTTTTGTTTAGGGAATAATACCAACAATGGAGAAGGTATTCCCTAGTGCAGAACATAGGTTCTGTTTGAGGCATATCCAGGAAAACATGAAGAAACAATGAAAAGGAAAAGACTTAATCGACCAGCTTTGGGAGTGTGGTAGAGTAACAACAGTCAATCATTTCAACAGAGCAATGGATGAGTTGAAGAAGATCAATGCAGAGGCTCATGCTTGGGTGTCTAAGATCCCATCAAGCACTTGGGCTAAATCTCACTTTAGTGGTAAGTTTCTAGAAATTTATTGAGAAATGTTAATCTTCCCTGTTGTGTGTTTACTATATGTGTAATTTTTTTTTCTGTTAATATCTATTATTCAGGAAGGGCACATACTGATTGTTTGTTGAATAACCTTTGTGAGGTATTCAATTCTAAGCTAGATGAAGGTAGGGATAAACCTATTATCACTTGCTTAGAGTATATTAGAGAGTATCTCATGAAGAGGTTATGTGTGGTGCAAAAGGAAATAGATAAGTGTGAAGGACTTCTAACCCCTACTGCAACTACATTGTTTGAAAAGATTAAGGCTGATGCATCAAAGTATGTGGCTAAATACAATGGGGTAGGGAAGTACCAAGTGGCAAGCACATGGAAAGACCAATATGTGGTAAACTTGAATGATCAAAGTTGCAGTTGTAGGTTTTGGGAGATTACAGGTTTCCCATGTAGACATGTTGTTTGTGCTATATGGGACAAAATTGAAAATGGTGAAAGTGCCCCACATGTTGATGAATGGGTCCATCCTTGCTATAGGTTATCAACATGGAAAGCCATGTATTTCAACAAAATTGATCCATTGAATGGACGTACAATGTGGCCTAAAAGTGACTGCCCATTCACTTTACTTCCACCAAAACATAAGACACGGGTTTGTATTTAAAGTAAACCAAAAATATAGTATACATGTGAACATGGAATGAATTCAATTTTAACTATAGTATATCAACATGTGTAGGTTGGGAGGCCTAAGAAGAAGAGAAGGAGGGGTGTTGATGAGCCAAACAGTCAAGCTGGTAGATTAAGCAAGAAATATTTGGCAGTCACTTGTTCAAAGTGTCATAACAAAGGGCATAATTCCAGAACATGTAAAGGGCAGGGAGGTAGTGGTGAAGTTGGAGGGGGCTGAAAATTAGTGGTTATTAGGATGCTGGTGTTGTAGGTATTTAGAAACTTATGTCATGTGTACTTGTTTGAAGATGTGTTAAGAACTTGAAAACTTTGGATGTAATGCTTGTGTTGTAGGTCTTTTGAAAACTTTGCTTCATGGTTGTGTTAAGAACTTTATAACTTTGAATGTAATGGTGTGTATGCACTTTTTGGTAATGAATTAATATGTTTTGTGTACTACCCTTCACAGATCAATTAATAACATTGTACATTTCAATTGCAAATGAAAACCATCTTCAAGATGCATTTACAATACACTTAAGAATTGCATTTCAAAAATGTCACAACTTGCATTTTGCTAGGAAATTCTACTCTTAAGTAATCATTCACCTAGTGTAATTACTTGTACTCTAAGTGAATACTCTAGTTCATACTCATTCGAATACATCTCATATGCTCAAATAAGGGTTGGAAACCCTAGATATCCCATTCCAAGTTCTTTATGGACTAGGATTCTCTTAGTGGGTCTAATAGACCAATAAACTTTCAAATGGACTATTTGGGCTCTAATTGGACCCACAATCATGAAACTAGATTTTTTGGGCCATGTGGGCCTAAAATAATTCATTTCCATCTCTAATAGGCCTTGTTGGGCCATAAGATCCATTCCTTTTATGCCATTTTGGGCCGTGAGTTACCCACAAGGGCCCAATGGGCCGAAAAATGCTTGGAGCTTCACAAAATTTCAAACAAGGCCAAGGTTAGGCCCAAATCATTTCATTGTTATTACTCTAGCCCAAATTCTTGGCCCAAGGTGTTTACTAGACAAAGAAAAAAAAAAAAAAAAAAGAAGAAATGGGAAATTATGAGCAAGTGCCACCTCAATATTGCATGGTGGTCACCCATGCACCAAAACCCCACATATAACAAGGTGATATCTCATATATCTAGGCAATCCTTCTCTCTCCCTCTCCCCTCTTCAAAACTCACGGCCATAAGGCCTCCTCACCATTATTCTCACTTTCTAAAACTCTCCCAAAAAGTCTCTCAAGAACTCTCCTACATTTCCTCTCTAAATTTTCGAGTTTTGGTGTGTACATTCAAGAGGATCTTCATTTAGATCATTAACTTTGGTAAGTTCTTACTTAGATCTATGATTTAACTTCTTAATCTCTTCAAAAATCTCCTCTTACCACCTCAAATTCGTGACCATGCTCCCTAGAACTCATCAAGATTCGAAGATCACTTCAAGAAGCTAAATAGAGTCATAACTTACACCACCTTCTTCTTATCTTCATCAAAACCGAAATCCAAACCCCAAGGTGAGTTCATACCCCCTTGATTTCTGTTTTCACTTGTTTTTGGGGGGAGAATACAAGTCATATGTGTAGATCTATATATTTATGCTTGATTATGTGTGTTTTCTTGAAACATTTGGTGATTATGTGTTGATTCCTTCACTAATCTAAAAAGATGTTAAGAAACTTGAAGTGTATCACTAGGATCTCCATATGGATCATGAGAAAAGTATGTTTTATCACATATAATGCATTTAAACTTTTAGATCTGGGATTTGTACACTTGAAATAGCAAAAATGAGTGTTGTATTCAAAGATCTATAAGCTAAACTCACTAAACAGCCCTTGACAGGAAAGTTTTGGTCCAATCTCGGACTGTTTTGACCATCCAAATGGAAGTATTTTTCAAAACTGTTTTACATGGATAAAGTTCAGGTTTATACCTTTAAAATGACTACTCGCACGTTTTCATACGATTTTTCTACAATTTTTGGCGAATTTTACAAAACTGCCTATCATATTTGAAATAATTTCGGACCAACCTGTGAAGGTGAACAATTTCACACTTGTTAGAAGCCATCAAAAATTATGAGAAAATTTTGGAACAAAATAGACAAGATTTCTAAACTTTGATAGTTTACGGATCCAATTTTCGACTTACGATGATTTTTCTACAAATTTTCAAACAACTAGGTCGAAAAAGTTCAAAAATCAGAAAATATGCATTTTCACATAACTCAAGTTAAGAATGTTATTTTTGACAAAAAGGGATTTCAAAATGTTGTTTTCACTACAAAATAGTTATCAAAACAAGTTTTGAACAAAATGGAGACCAAAGTGTTATTCTTATAAAAAAATTGGGCCTTAATCCTAAATTTTTGGCTTATTGGGCCAAGAGCATCATTTTACAAAAGTGGGTTTTAGATTTCAATCATGTAAATAATCAATGCCAAAACAAACAAAACAATAACAAACACGAACCCGACACGATGAAATACTAGTACCTCGACTATCGGCGATATACAATACACCCTCAACACCAAAATCGTTATCAAACGAATTGGTTTGGTCTCGAACCAATAAAAATCCAAAACTACTAACACGACGATACTATGACATTACGACATTACGATTCATAACCATAACGATTACTATTACAATGCGAGTGTGCGCAGACGTCTATGCACCATCTTTGGGCCCAAAAGTGTAAAATCTTGTTCGTTGAGCCTAGCTAGCCCAATGACCTGATCTTAAGGCCCGAAGGTCTCTCTCACTTACGAAGTGTTGGGTTTTACCGATCCGACATGACGTAACAGGACTTTCAATGGCAAACATGCTGCTGGACCCCAAGGGTTCTTCAGTGCTGCTAGTAAAGTCTGTAACTCACGATTGCGAGTTGGGCTTCGGGCCCTTCGCAATTGCATTTGGTCTCGGACGACGCGGGGAAACCCCGAAGGTTTCGTACCTTTTTCCTTCCCTCCGGTCGTGGGACTTTACAAGTCCGGGAGGATCGAGTCGCGTGAAGATTTACGAGTGACGCCTATAAGGATCGCTTGTAAGGTTGTTGACTTGTCGTTTTCACTAACGCTTGTCCCAACACTTCACCACCCTCTGTATTCTCGATGCCTCCGGAATACAACGATACAACGATAGGAAAACGTCGGGTTTTCCTAGGATTTCAATAACGATTACAAATTTCCGATCGAATTTTACAACTCGTACGCTTACATCTATAGAAAACAAACAAGCATACTTACGGATCCACACATTTTTTTTACCATACTATTTTCAGAAAATATCGGATTTTCTGGTGGTTTTCGAAACGATACAAACATTGGATTTCAAACATTACTTATGAACTCACCAACATTTCATATGTTGACGTTTT